CTATGTTGTCATACCTACTGGATATCTTTTTGTCTTTATCTTACTGTGTGTCTTAGCAGCTTTCTAAATAAGTGATCATGACGTCTTTCTTAAGATGCTCTTCTCGATAAGCCATTCTTCTAGCTTTCTTTCTTAGTTTGGCTGCTTCTTCTCAGTCTCTGTTGAAGATTTTCCTTTCTCCTCTATGTAACTTCTAGATGACTGGGGTGGAGGGGTTATTCATCATAAGACTGGGTTCTCCCTCTCCCTCTCTCAATTCCTCATTATTCATTCCCAAGGCTACAAATATCATCTGTATCCTGAGGACGCTCTGGTGTATATTTCGATTTTTGATCTCACCTCTGAGTCTTAGACTCATGTCCACTGCCCATGTGATGATTTCATCAAATATTTCACTGGCATCTCAAACTTAACATTTACCAAACTGAGCTTACAATTCTTTTAAACTTCCTCCTCCCATCCCCCACAATATGTTGTTCTTCCCCAAATATCCCCTTTCTCATGTTCATGTACCCAGTTGCTCAACCATATCTTAGGAATTAACCTTGATTTCTCCTCCTCTTGCTCCTTCTTTCTTAACTTTCATTTTGAATCCATCGGCAAGACCCATGGATTCATGTTCAAAATGCATCTAGAATTTTCTCACTTCTCTTCTGCTATCCCACACCAAACATTACCTCTTGCCTGGATTATGCAGTAGTCTCCAAACTGGTTTCCTCATTTCTACTTTCTCCCGCACACCATTCACCATACAGCAGTCAAGGTAATCTTCACAAAAATGTACATGACATCATGTTACTCTGCTTAAAACTCCTTCAGAGGCTATCAGTTACACTCAGGATAAAATCCACACCTTTTAGCACAAACTCCAAGGCATTGTGTGATGTGGCCCCTTGTGTCATGCTACCCTTCCCTTTGGGGATGGGGACAATAGGCTGGCCAACGTATTCAAGATTCAATCTAGTTGTGGGCACAGGTTAATTCAAAGAAAGCATGCCAACAAACTGTCATGCCAGACAGAAGCTGTTTAGATGCAAACTGAAATGACACAAGTAGAAAAAAGTGGGGAAGATCAAGGAAGCCCAGCAGGACAGCTCGAAAGAAGGGGATTACACCTGTATCATTCCCACTGCACACTCAGCACATGGCACAGTGCCCAACATACGATAGAAGTCAATACATACTTGTAGAATAAATGAATGACACAGATATGAATGAATGTGTG